GTTTAAACCAATTTCTCTTTGTTTCCCCTACAGAGTGTGTCTGATGTCAAATTTTAAGATTTGTCAGCGCACAATGATTATATATGCTTATATCTTCTCATATACTTTGAAGAATAAAAATTCACTTAAGCCATGTTGACCTTTTCATATGATCCAGAATGAACATAAATAATTTCAGTTAAACCTTTAGGCATCTCATATACTGTTAATCCCATGGTTTAGAATATCTCTATTTATTATTTTCCAAGAGCACAGTCACCTTTTGGGCCATGGACTCATGGAATTTTTAAAAGATAACTTGGATCTTTGAGATCAATAAACTTCATTGCATACATGTCAATACACACTATTGACTATATATTTAATCAAACTGTCATGGGCTTTGGGCCGGGAGTCCTAGGCCCATTAGATAGAGTTAGGGTTTGTTAGGACTAGATTAATGAGTCATCCATCTATATAAGGAGGAGATCCTATCCTAGGTCAATTAGGTATTAGATCAAAATTTATCTTAGTGCCCGTCGGTCTGCCTTCTCAGTGCGACGGAGAGCGTCGCGCCGTTTTGGTTCAGAACCGTTCCTTGTTATTTCATCTACTATAATCCAATCTATCCCCATTCTTCCCTATTCTTCTCCACAAATCCTTGCACGTGACAACTTGGTATCAGAGCTTTGGTTCTGTGCCCATGGGTCCCGAGATCTCTACGGTTCCCAACATCAGCGAAGGCCTTGTCGAGATCTCGAAGAAGATGATGGACTTGGCGGCGCAACTCCGGGCCATGGCGGCTCAGTCAGCCAAGCCGGCGGCTTTCATTGAGGAGGCCGAACCATTATACTGGCATGCGGTGGCCTTGCGTTCGCGAGGGCGCGTCTTCAAGCAGCACAGATGGCGGCAATATTTAGCGGTGACGCTGCAACCACGCGGGGGCGGCGTGACTCGTGGCGAGGTGCTCATGTTTCCTCTTCCGGCGGCGCCAAGTCTGGGAGTGGCAACGCAACCTCGACCTCGCCGTTGGGACTGGCGATGGCGCCATCGCCGTTGGCGCCCTCAACGGCGGCGATTTCCACTTCAACGGCGATACAACACGGTACGGGCGTTTGGTTTTCAGGCGCTATTTTCCGGCGATGCGGCTTTGTTTCCGCAGGTGGAGGCGCACGTACCAGTGATGGTTGGAGCAGAGCTTGGCGACGTGCGTGCGGCGCGATTCGCAGGCGCGACGGGTGGGTGTGGCATTCACGTGTCGCAATGGCGCAGATCGTGCCGGCCCCACGTGCTGGTTCGCGAAGTTGGCGGATCGACCACGGCTGCGTCGCTCCTAGCGGTGTGGTCTCCTGAAAGGAAAGGAGATAGGGTTTCTGCCCTCTCTTAGTTGGGCTAGGTGGTTTCCACGTTGGCCTATGATGCAAAGGTTGATCTTTCTCATATTTTGAGCCAAGGAATTTTGGTCTGAGCCTTCCGATTTGGATCATGGAAGGGGCTTTTCCTCTCCTTAGGAGGCTCAGGTTGGGGTCCTCCTGCGCATGAATTGTTTTTTATTTTTGTTTTTCATAAAAGCCGAGATGTAAAAGGCTTAAGAGTTTTAGTTTAGGGTATGGTGTTCCGTTTGAGTCTAGCCGGGTGTGCTGCTGCTCAAAAAGAGGGAAGTAATGTCACGGGCTTTGGGCCGGGAGTCCTAGGCCCATTAGATAGAGTTAGGGTTTGTTAGGACTAGATTAATGAATCATCCATCTATATAAGGAGGAGATCCTATCCTTAGTCAATTAGGCATTAGGTCAAGATTTATCTTAGTGCCCGTCGGCCTGCCTTCTCAGTGCGACGGAGAGCGTCGCGCCGTTTTGGTTCAGGACTGTTCCTTGTTATTTCATCTACTATAATCCAGTCTATCCCCATTCTTCCCGATTCTTCTCCACAAATCCTTGCGCGCGACACAAACAGACAGTGATGTCGATGCCGAGCAACTCCTGGACTCCAAGCCTCCAACTCTGTCCAGTCCATACAGGTGTATGGCAGCAAACAGCAGGTCCAGCTTGAAGAGATGTGGTTATTCTGAATTATTCTTAGAAATAAGATAGGAATCATTTCGCTCTAAAAAGGCCAACTTGAACTTGAAGCGTGAACACTGGAAATTGCAGACCATGAGTACACATAACAAAAAGTGAATTTAGCTAAAAAAGTTAATATCACCTATTTTTAGGTCATTGGGCGGGCTGGTGGTTATAGTCAAAAACCTGGTGTAAATCTTTTCTTCTGCTGGTTGTTCGGATCCTAACTTCATGTTCTTTTGTGGTTAAGTCAAATTGGCCAATGTACTGCTTAAGCTTTGCATCTGGTATGGTTTGATGGCATTTGATCGCCAAATGCTTCATGAATTGCACACTAGAATTTGACAGAATTTATGTATACTGCCACTTTTCAAATGCAGTTTGCCATCTGGACCCATAAACGCAGTTGATGTACTCTGCTTGCATATAGATGTTTTAGGAAACCAATACAATTTTGGAATATGCTAAGCAATAATCGACTGATTTGTATAGAACATCTGAGTTCTGAAAGAGTAATGTGGATTAGATGATAAAAGTTGGCATAGTGTGGAACCATGATAGGCTGAACTAAATTATTTTTTCTATGGAATATAAATTTTTGTCATGCCAATGGTTGTATTAAGGAAATAACAAATGCACTACTTGTAAAGATCTTTATATATCAAAGTGTTTGTGTATATAGAATTTATAAAGATTTTGGTGGGTTTTTATTTTCGAGTCTTTTGGCAATGGGCCATGAATTTGTATATGACAATATTTCCAAATTTTACAAGTTTATATATTATCTAGTGTATATATGTTGTGGAAATGTGCACTGCACATGCTTAGGAGGGCGAGCGTATTGTTGTAGAATAATGTGCAAGCACGACGCCTCTTTGCCTCGCACTTTCTGGCCGAGTCAATTATCATGCATAACTGGATCGTACCAAAATCGCAACAAGTTATCGTACATACAGCAATTTCACGAAAAGAATCCTACCATGAGGTAGCAGATGACATGGTGTGATTTATACTTATGATAATTTAAGTGATGATTTCAAATGGGTACATGCAAATTTTCTCATTGCAACGCGCGGGCATCCAACTAGTTTTACTTAAAATTATTGGCTTGGATGGAACATATATAACCCGTTGGCTATGTGTTTGTTAAAATTCTATACAACCCGTTTCCGCAAATTCAACCCGTTGGCCATATGTTTGTTTGGATGGAATATGTGTTTGTTTGGCTTGGATGGAATGGCCATGTATTTGTTAAAATTCAGATATATTTTTAATTTATTTTCCATTGGATATCTCCCCTTTTCTGCAAATGTGAGCATTTCAAGAGATTATTAAAACTAGGCAAATTTTGCTACAGGACACTGCTACTTCGTGGAATTAGCTCCAGGACACCGCACGAAATGAGTTTTGGGGGAAGACACTCCCAAAACATAGCTATTTGCCAGAGGACACCGCACCCATTTGTTTAGTGTATTCGTGCTGACTAGGCTTGAGCGGGCCCACATTTTGACGGGACCGGACCAAATTACCCTGCACATCTAAAGTCTAATTTCTGTCCCTCGGGCTACATCTTCAACCTCCAGCTCTCGTGCCCGTACGCCACACCACCGCCTCCCGCTCTAAATTCGGCCGATCCCGTTGCTCGTTCAAACATTGATTGAGGGGATTTCTTCCCCTTATCCTTCTCTTTCTTTCCCCTCAAAAATCGGAGCAAATCCCGTTGAATATTGCGTGGATTCGAAGCGGATTTCATCTCTTATTTTTCTGGCACTCTAACCAATCCGTGCAAATCCCGCTGAATATAGCGTGAAGCGTGCTTCTGCTTCTGCTGCCGCTGCTGCTTACTGCCGCGATTGCCGCTGCCGCTGCTGCCGCTGCCGATGCTACTGCTGTGCTGCTTGCTGCCGCTGCTGTTGCTGCCGCCGCTGCCACTGCTGCTTGCTGCCGCTGCTGCTACTGCCGATGCTACTGCTGTGCTGCTTGCTGCCGCTGCTGTTGCTGCCGCCGCTGCCGACTGCTGCTGCCGCTGCCGCCGCTGCTACTGCTGCATGCTGCCGCTGCTGCTTGCTGTCGGTGAGGGGAGGGGAGAGGGAGAGGGAGAGGGAGAGGGAGAGAAGAGAGATAAGGAGCTGACATGTGGGTCCGAGGATATTTTTGACATTTCGGCTGCGTTCTTTTCAGGATAGTCGTTCTCGTTTTCCGTTAGCACGCTTTTCAAACTACTAAACGGTGCATTTTTCTGTAAAAAGTTTCTATACGAAAGTTACTTAAAAAAATCATATTAGTCCATTTTTTTAAAAAAGAATAGCAGATACTTAATTAATCATATGCTAATGGATCGCTCCGTTTTCCGTAATCACTGTTCCTAAGAAGAAAGAACGCAGCCTTCATGTAGTTTCTCTCTCCTCTTCAACCGGAAATTATTATTTTAATGGGTGCGTTGTCCGCTGGCAAATAACCACGTTTTTGAGAGTGTTTTTCCCTAAAAGTGACTTTGTGCGGTGTCCTGGAGTTAAAACCACAAAGTCACGATGTCCTATAGCAAAATATGCCTTAAAACTATATACGCAGAAATCCCTGATTAAAATAAACATTATTGTCATTATATCTTTTTTATGAGCATTTAATATTATTTTTATCATTTGTGGTTCTGATAAAATAATTTCAGATGATGGTGAGCCTTCTATCCTAATTGGCGAAAATTTTACCATCATACACACATGTCATCTCACAATATATCTTCATTACTAAATAATGCCATAACACATGCAACAATATGTATGGTTTCTTCTCGATCTTAAGGTGGAACCCACTAATTAAGAAAAAAAAAACTCTATTCACCTATGATTTCAAAGATACTATATATGTTGCAAATGTATAAAATACTTTTGTATTTCTTATGGTATAACTTTAAGCTCAAGGTTACCCTTAAAAATATTATCTTCATGGCTACTCTCCCAATGATAGAGGTAAAACAAATATATTACTTTATTCCTTAAGATCATTTTACATGCAACATTGTGGATGTGGTAAGTAATAACAAATGATTCAGAATAACACAGCGGCTAGCATAGTAAATAAGTAACCTTGGATTTTGTTCCAACTTCAGCCGTTCAGCTTCATTGTTTTGAAGAACTCCTCCAATGCCTGATTTGCCGACGAGCCATGTCCACCCTCCCGTGCAGCTTCCATGATCTCCTTGATCGCTCTCGCCCGCTGCCGCATCTCGGCCGCCTTCGCTGTTGGAGACATCACCGTCTCCACCACGGCAACCAGCGTCGCTTTGTCCACAATAATGGCACTCATGTCCATGTCCCCCCGTGCCCCCTCCACGCGGAGGCACACCCCCCACTCCTCGTCGAGCATCTTGGCGTTGTAGTACTGATCGCCGGCGAGCGGCCACCCGATGATCGGCACGCCGTGCGTCATGCTCTCCAGCACCGAGTTCCACCCGCAGTGGCTCAGGAACGCTCCTGTGGAGTGATGCGCCAGGATCCCCACCTGCGGCGCCCATCCATGGAGGAGGAGGCCTTTCTTGGTCGCCGTCACCCTCTCCTCGAATCCGTCGGGAAGCCACTTCGGCTGGATCTCGCCGTTTATGTTGTGCCCGTCCGGCGGCTTCACGGCCCAGACGAACGGCCGGCCGGTGGCCTCCAGTGCGGCGGCCAGCTCCGCCATGTGCTCTGCTTGGATGGAGAACTGTGACCCGAACGATACGTAGAGCACCGACGACGGAGGGTGGGAGTCGAGAAAACTGGTGATGGCGCCGGCGGTGGCGTCCGTCTCCGGCGAGGTTGTTTTGGTGGAGGCGCGCACGAGTGGGCCGATTGGAATTACCGGGAGCCTGAAGGTTCGCCGGAGCATGGCGAGCCCGGTGGGCTCGAACTCCTCCACGGTGTTGATGAGCAGCGCGTCCGTCTTGTACCCCAGCTGTATCTGCCGCCCGAAGAACGCCTCGACGCGGTGCTTCACGGCCGTGGGCGGGTGGAGCACGTTGCTGGACACCTGCGACCTGTGGATGACCACGTCGGGGTACTCCGGTAGGAGGATCCGGCCGGCCTCGTCGGGGCGAATGGGGAGGTGGCTCCAGAGCGAGTGCACGACGGCGCTGCCGAACGCGCCGCACGACACGAAGAAGGCGTGGGCGCACCCGCGGCGCCGCGCGACGGTCACCGTCCACGCCAAGAACGGGTCGGAGACGACGCAGACAGCGACGTCGCCGGCGGCGGTGGCGCCGGCGACGAAGTCGTCGAAGGCCGGCTGGAGCACCTCCAAGGCCTCGAGGAAGTCCGGGAAGCGATTGTGGGGGACGCCGTCGGAGGACTCCCAGCCCGCCGGGAGGCCATGGTCGGCCGGCACGAACGGCAGCTCGTGTAATAGAAAGGAGTCATGTCCTGCCGACGTGGCTCGCCGCAGGCTGGCCACGTTGCGTGGCGTCGAGACGAGGGTGATGGCGACGTCTGGGAGGGCGCGGTGGAGGACGCCGGCGAAGGACAAGAAGGCGGCGAGGTGCCCATGGCCAGGGAAGGGGAACAGCACGACGACGTTCTTGCTAGTTGCTGCCGTCATTACTGCTACTACTCACTCCAACAAGTCTCCATGTGACAACACGTACGTCTCAGGGTTGCTGGTGGCAGACATCACTCCGTGTTTCTTACTCCCTCGTTTAAAAAAAAAAAAAAAAGCAAATCCTAGGGTTGCGTGTCCAACTTTGACTGTCCGTCTTATATAAAAATTTTTTATAATTCGTATTTTCATTACTGTTAGATGATAAAACATGATTAATATTTTATGCGTAACTTGTCTTTTTAATTTTTTTCATAATTTTTTCAAATAAGACGAACGGCCAAACATTGAACACGAAAATTAGGGTTTATCTTTTTTTTTAGGACGAATGGAGTATATTTCTATTTTGTTAAATAATAGCGTCATTTCTCAGCGGTAGTTGGCGACTTAAATGTTACTAGGCACAGGACCTAACGCGTGTGGTTCACCCTTCTGAATTATTTCTGATCGCCATCGGATAATTACACACTAGTACAAGGTTTGTTGGGAGGGTGTTTGATTTTTCAACTTAAAAATTTGACATCTATTATCTTCTATTATATCATAAATAATACTAAAGTTCATAAAACTTCCTACAAATACTCATAAACAACCATGTGGAAGTCCTACAAATACTCCTAAACCACCGTGTGTCACCTTAACAAATAGTTAGACCCACCATTTTAATTACCATTAGAATTGTTTTTTTTCACCTCCCTCTCCTATCACCCATCAGCCCACGTCAGGGCATCCCCACCAGCCCATATGCACGCACGTGCAAACTTACGTAAGGAAAAACTACGCACTATTTGTGCTAAAGAAAAACAAAAAAAGACTATTTGTTTGAAAAAAATAAAAAAAGAACATATATGTATGCACGTTTTCACCTACGGTAAAGAAAGCAACCAATCCTACACCTTTATTTTATTTTCTCTAGTTGTTCCATGTTAAAATTTTATAAAGCATATGATGTATTTTATCTATAAAAATGTCACATCCATATCAACTATATTTTAATTAATTAAAAGAAGTTGTCACGTGAAACTATTGTCTTAATGATTACTTCGTTTGTGTTTCAATAACCGGGAACTAAATGAGCTCCTTAGCCGTCAATTAACACACTAATAAATTAGAGAAAATAACAGAAATTACGAAGAAAAAACAAAAAAAACATTGATTTCAACTTAAATATGGTAGACCAATTATTTTCTACCATTAATTTATCTTAGCAATATAAAAAAAAGAAAATACCCACCTCCCACCCCTTCACGTCATGTATGTATGAATGTGCACGTACGTACTTATGTATCTCTCTCTCTCCCCCCTTACTTTCTCTCCTTTATTAACAACATCTTAACTAATATAAATATTCGGATTTTTCCTTTAGTCACCAATTTTTTCGTCCGTGCGTAATTTTTTTCGCCCGTACATGCTTTTTTCACGGATCCGATTTTGTTCGGTTTTTCACTTTTCTCTAGCGCCAGCCCAGTAGGCCAGGCCAGAAGTCCAAGCCACAAGCCCATAAAGCTACAAGTCCAGGTGCGCCCACAAGTCCAGGTGTTCCACAAACCCACAAGTCCAGGTCCAAGCCACAAGCCCATAGAGCCACAAGTCCAGGTGCACCTCCACAAGTCCAGGTGTTCCACAAACCCACAAGTCCAGGTCCAAGCCACAAGCCCATAGAGCCACAAGTCCAGGTGTTCCACAAACCCACAAGTCCAGGTCCAAGCCACAAGCCCATAGAGCCACAAGTCCAGGTGCACCACAAGCCCACAAGCCCAGGTGCACCCCCACTCCTACTCCGGTTTGCCCCAACTGCGACCAGGAGTCCTGCTCTTGCTATTCCGTTTTCCTTTTCTTCTTTCTTCCACTATTTTTAGCGCTCACCCGATCACGATTTTACAGATTTCTCAGGCAAGACATACATATAGAAATAATAGAAGCACACAAAAAAAATACAAATCACAAGGTTTTTCCTCTAGGGTGCCAAGCCACCTCCAATCAATGTCGATTCCAGGTTATCATTGTACTCAACCTGAATGCAATTACAATTTCATTAGATTTATATAACTCAAAAAATTCTACTCCATGCATGCTTGCCTACTTTTTTAATGTTATCACTAAGTCATAACATGCATTGGCTCATAATAACTTGCTGATGCACTCACTGTTCATGGTACGTTATACTGTCTTTAATTATGCATGTGATGTATCTACCAAAATAGTACATTCGCTCATGCAAAAGCAAGCCGAGTTTAAACCAACAAAGAAAATATTTCTTTACCAATGTAAGAATGCAAGATCAATTTCATCTGAGAAGGCCAAAAAACTAGACAATTAATGCACTATGGTGATGGGAAAAAAAATCAAGAAATTTGTTTGTAACAGCTCTAATTTCCTAAGTCATATAAATCATTTAGATACCCCATTTAAACTATCTGAATATTCAGAACATTTATTTTGAAGGCAGACACAAACGATAGTAAAATAAGGCAAAAGAGAATGTTATCTCTAAAGAGGTACCTTAGAATTGTCTATTCTATCTATATATAAACATCTGGAGGTAAAAATCACTAAGAAGGATGGAAGAACAACAGACCTGTATGTGCGACAGCAATATTTGCTCACTTCAATTCAATAGCACACATAAAAAAACGCAACTCACTTAGCAAATATGAAGCCTTCCCTCAGGATACTGTGTGGTATAAAATTAATTAGATGAACAGGTACTATCATCAAAAGGAATAAGTTCATATTATCACTGCATGTACCAATAAAAGAATCAATTCAAAATTAAATATGTTTTTGTAAGCCGCATAACAAAATAAACCTTATCTAAATCATGTTTGCTCTACCTTCTCAGATTGCCTATCCTGATTGCAGAACTTATGATTGCATTGTGCATGATAAACCGATCGAACAGTGAGCATACCAGATTTAGTATGTTGCCATGCTACAACATCCTGAGTTCCTCGCTACCAGGAGTAAGTGCTATTTGTATGATTCGATTAGCATCAACGGACCAAAAAATGCTACAGACCAGCTCTTCAGCCGACTGACCAACTAAAGGATTAAACAAATCACTTACTTTTGACAAGAGAGTACTTTCAGGTTGTGACTAGAGGGAATTCTCAGATGTTGTCTTAAAAAAAAAGAATACCTGGGCGGCAGTGGCTGGGGTTGACGGCGAATCAAGGATGTCCGTCGCTGGCAGATGGAGCGATGGAGGTAGCGTCCACCCATCGTCGTCGTCACCGTAGGGGAGGCTACCGGATCCACCCCTCCCGTCGTCGCCGGCGCGACGGGATCCGTGCGAGAGGGGAAGAGGTCGCCGGATCAGCCCCTCCTATTGCCGCCGACGGCGGATCTGCGCGAGAGAAGGGTGGAGAGACGGTGGAATCCAGGCGCCGACGGCGGATCCGCGCGAGGGGGGCGGAGAGACGAAGGGATCCGTGCGGACTCGAGCTCCAAGGGGCCAGCGGAGCAGCAGAGGGGCGGCGCTGCCCCAATACGCTCATCACCGAACTGCAGCAGTAAGGGAAAGAGCCTGGAGCAGTGGTGGATATGGCCGGCGATAGAGAGAGACGGAGAAAGACGAGGAGAGAGCGAGAGAAATGATGGAAGCACTCCGACCGGCTACAGATATTTGCTCTCGGTAATGAACTACGAGCTTTCGTTTTTTTTAAAAAAAAAAAGAAAAGAAAACTACAACGGTCAAGTTCCTAGATAGTGCTAATCCACGGAATTGATTTCCACTAAAAAATGTTTAGATATACGTACAAACTTAAACTTCAGTATCACAGACGAGTGGTATTTTCTTTTATTATTGATTTTTATCATTGACATAAAACACACAGGAAACTTCCACTTTAATATTTGTTTGACGTAAAAAAATGTCGATTGTAAAAAAATAAAAAAAAATTCGTGAGACACGACATATTAAGATTATGCGCGCTATCGATCATCCAAATGTCACACGGTCGATCTCCACCCGAGTCCACATATGATTTTGGGAACTGGATCACACGCAAGAGCAAGTTTAATAGTATAGCCAACTACTAACTCTAATTCATCTATAGCCAATCTAATAGCTTATTCATACAATAGTTACATACTACACTATTAATACCTGAATACCTGATCCTACCTGTTATACTCACACTGTTTCCCGTGCTACAGCTGTCTATAAATCTGTAGCCCGCTGCTATTCTTTCTCTATTTAACTTCTTAAAATATGTTTGCAACCGACTTATAGCCTACTATTGTACATGCTCTAATAACATAATAATTGACAGTAAGAAAGCATAATTGACAGAGTAAGAAAGCACGCATGACCATTATAAAAGTATTATTTTATCCGTCCTGATTATTATTGGTCTAAAACTTACCTATTTAATCAAACAAACTTCCGTCCTCTTTTTGCGTGAAAGTGATCGGAACATTCACTGTTTATTCCTCCCGTGGTACAATCATTATGTTAACGCATTACATTCTTCGAACCATACACGTGTACAGTGCAATAATTATTCAAAATAAAAATACCTCTGCGATTATTATACAAGTCACCCATGCTTATCGCCACATTGGAGTGCTCCAAACAATAGTTGAGTTAAACTTTATCCAACATACCACGACCCGGTGCAACGCACGGACATATTACTAGTATATAAAAAAAATCAATAATTAGATACCTTGAAGATCGTAATTTCCACTAAACTTCCAACAAACATTTATAATCCATTACGTGGCACCCTATAAACACTCTCGAGTCGTCACGTGACACCCTATAAACAGAAAAATTTGGTCATCGATTTTCATTTAAATTAGTGAGCCTTTTATTTTAGATCATTAGATCTATCTTAAAAAAAATATCGCTCTGTCCACACCTCTGTACGGCGTTCTCACGCATGTACCTAACATACCCTCCCTCCGTTCCTTTCTTTTCTTATTTCCATAATAATTAAAATTATTTTTTTAGCCTAAAAAATCCATAGATAGACATCAACCTACTAGATGTAGCAAGCTCTATCTCTATCCTCTATTTTTAGTACGTTAAACATCGTACAAATATTTCTAAATAACTGCATGGCCCTCTTAAATTAGAGAAAATAAAACATTCGACCATCGGTTTCTATTTAAATCGATTTTATATTGTTAGATCTATCTTTTTTAAAAAGAAAAATCATCCGAACCTCACTCCACGCCCCTATGTGACGTCTTGACAAAGAATGATCAAATGTACCAAGATCGCACCAACATATGACAAATTATTTTGTTAATTACAGAAAAAAATTAAATGTGACAACGTTATATCTACAGTATGTACATTGTACATTATTATTGTAAATTCAATAGAGGGGAGGCAATATAGTTACACAAACACGCAACTTTATATAAAAGTCCATTAAACTTTCTACAAACACTTATAATCCATCACATGGCATCCTACATACACTCATAAGCCATCATATGATGCTATAATAAATTACAAAAATCATGTAAATTATGATAAAGATTTTCACTTAAATTGATGATCCGTTATTTGAGGCTATTGGATTTATATTTCATCAAAAGAGAACAACCTGGGCTTCAACCGTTAGATTAGTTTGATCTAATTAACCATAGCCTCATGCAGTCAAGCCCACGTCACCTCCCCCATGAATGCGATGCACGGTGGAAAAAAAATTCTACAACACCTCTCGCGGTTGTAGGAGATTGTCATCACCATGGCAAGTTTCTCTGATGAGCTACAACTTTATATTGTAAATAACACAACTCAAGTTTATGAAGATGGATCTGTCCCCATTTATATTGTACTGTGCTAAATTGTTCGTCGCTTAGAACAAAGCAACAATTGATATATACTAGAGCATACTCATAAAACATGCCACATAAGCAACAAAAGTCATATTAAGCATACCAAGAGGCAAAGGTCAACGATAAATCAACGAATTCAGTAAATTCCTACCCTTTAAAGTAGCTGCATGGGTTTCTCCACAACCTCCATGGGAATACAAAATCAGTAACCTTTTTTACAGTAATATGATTAAAAGTCATATTTTTCCTAATAAATTATTATTTTAAGATAGGGTCTCACATATTACAAAGAAATTCTATATAAGATATGTATATTTGATCAATTAAAAAGAGAGCTAGCATGATGTAAAAAAATAAATTTACGATCAATTCAAATTTTTGGAGACTTTTTAAATAAAAAGTAAACAATGAAAATTCAATTAAAACGAAAGAGACCTTACTTTAATTTAACCTTATTTTGTTAGAACTATTTATGAAACAAAATAATATACATACCCGCGCTAATGCGCGGGCTACCTTCCTAGTTTTTTAAATAATGCGAACAAGAAAATTGAAATTGATGGAAGCTCTTTTCCCAAAATTTCTTATATATTGGTCCATTATTGTACTATCGTCCCATGTGGGATAAAAGCAGGCTTAATAATGTAGCTCGTCACGGACGGTAAAAATAATCACGTTAGAGCAAGGTCAATGGTATAGCTAGTAGTAGCTAGTAATACCCATTGCCATGTCATTTTGCAGTTAATTGTAAGGCCAGCTAGCCCAATATGCTAGCTATTTGCTCGCTGCACCTTATTAATAAAATAATTAATTTTGCATGGACATTTTAACAACTACAATCAAAAGTGCACTCAGTTGTGGTTTCATCAATCAATAATGAAAAAAAAACTTATTATCGATTTCCCGATCATATTGGTTTGGAAAAAAAATAAATATATACATAGGTGGACCACATTGCTTAAGGCCCGCCACAGGCGAAGATCATTTTCGCTGGCAGCATTCATCAAAGGAGCTTCTAGTGAAGAGATATTTCATTGGCGTTTGCCTTATGAAATCCGCTAGCGGAAATGGAGTAAAGCTGGTGGTTGGCAACCACGTGGAAAATACTTCATCTTCACTAGCCTTTGGTCTCCAGCTGTTAGCCCCTGCGAAAACCCATTTTGGTCGTGATGAGCACCTGGCAGCAAAGTACCCTGAATTTTCCCTCTCAATCACGGTACCAACGATAATCGATAAATTAATTAGCTGATCTCAGAACTGAGTAACTCAATAGATATCTACCAGACTGACTTAATTATTGTATTCCAAACCCTAGATAAATGATACTTCTACCGGTGCTTAAGCAAACACGATCAGAAAGGAGAGAAACTTATAGAACCGAGTAGCACCACCAACAGAAAACCTCCCACAGCAGTTGCTCTTCTACCAACCAAACCGGTGACAAGATCTTTCAATGAAAGAAAGATGGGCGCCATCTTTTGTTCGCTCGGGGAGAAACCCTCGGCGAAACCAAACAAACCAATCTAATCCCTCTGCTAATTAATCGTGATCGACCAATTAAAAGATACGTAGGCTTTCAGGTCAGGCTCTGAGGCTCGCAGACCTACCACAGATGGACACCGACGACGCTAGCTAGTCCAAATTGGACCCAAGACTCAGGAACTATCAGAATACATGCATAAAAAAAACTGACTCAACCTGACCGCTACATGCAAGAGAAATAATATAATAATCCGGCTGCAGTGCTAATGACCTTGGTAATTAGGCTAATCAAACCCGCAATTGATATCTCGGGCAGACGCGCCACAAGCCAACTGCACATGCATGCATGCACCTTGGTCTTCATCTGTGCAGATGCATTACACACACATGCATACACTGGTGGAGAAACCCTCTGTAGTCCCGGTTCGTAACCCCCCTTTAATCCCGGTTTCCAAACCGGGAGTACTAATCCGGGACTAAAGATCGCTATCATTAGTCCCGGGTGAAATAACCGGGAGTAAAGATCGATCTTTAGTCCCGGTTGGTGTTACCAACCGGGACTAAAGATCGAGCTGACCTTTTTTTTTTGCATGGCCCTGTTGCTGCATGGTTTATATATATATATATATAAACCATGCATATATATGTTTCAATACATATATATGCATACATATATATATGTATATATATATATATTATATTATATTATATTATATGTATATACATGCATAATATATATGTATTTATACATATATATGTTATGCAAATGCATATGTATATAGATATATATATGACCAAAATATATTTACATTATAGAAAATGTGTACACATGCATATAGAAACATATGTAGTCATGTATTAATTACAATCCATTATATATCCTAGCTAGCTACGATTTCGACGTAGTAGTACTCGCTGCTAGCTCAGAAGCTAAGGACCGGTGAATTGTGTTTCCGTCGTAGTAGAATTCACCCTTGGGATCAAGGATTTCTTCGTTGATGAATCCCATGAGTTGTTCTTGAACCGCCGCGATAAATTCCTTGTGTGTGGTCAGGTTATCCCTCATGCGAATAAACTATATGAATGTATGAAATTGATTAGTAATTAAACAAGAAATCGCTACGTAATGAAAATTTGAATTTATTTGTACGTACATCGAGCTCTCTTGTGGTGATGATTTGGTCTGCAAGGCAGTGGCAATACTCGCACACGTAATAGCCGCACAAGTTAGTTCCCTGCTTTTGCTTTGCGCACTACAAATAAATGACAAACAACGAGAGATCTAATTAATATACACTTGTATGTATTTGAATCGGAGAAATATAAATGTAGAGCATGTGTACTCA